GAGAGTAAAGTTAGCCCTCATTCTTCTCTCTCCTTGTGAAGACAACACAAACAGTTTGTGAGTTTGCTGATAGAAAAGCTGCATTTGAAATGACCTGCTACTTAAAAAGCATCAGTCACTTTATGCTTGCCTTCTGTAGGGCTAGCTACACTGCCACTTTAACCCCTGGCTTTGGCACATGTCATCTCTTTTCATGCAACATCCCCTGGTGTTTAGGCTCAAATCGGTTCGATGTATGAAGGCCCACAGCAACGAAATAATAACTTAGAATTCATTAAACCTAAGGTAACCAGCCTGTTTTGAAAATGTAATCAGAATCAGAATCAGAATACTTTATTGATCCCTGGGGGAAATTATTTTTTGTTACAGTGCTCCATTATAAACCAACATTAAGACAAGACAGACAATACGCTAACTAAGAATAGTACAATATATACATATATACAATACATACATAAGTCACTCATAAATAAATAGCTGGAAAAGAAACATGTGTAGTTGTAGCAGCAAACAGTGTGTTAAGTGGATGCGTTGTACAGGGAGCCACAGGCAGGAAAGATTTCCTGTGTCGTTCAGTGGTGCATCATGGGTAATCTCAGTCTCTCACTGAACGGCTCCTGTGACTGACCAGCATGTCATGGAGTGGGTGGGAGGTGTTATCCAACATTGTCTTTATCTTGGACAGCATCCGCCTCTCCGACACCACCTTGAGGGAGTCCAGCTCCATCCCCACAACATTGCTGGCCTTACGGATTAGTTTATTAAGTCTGTTGGCATCTGCGACCCTCAGCCTGCTCCCCCAGCATGCAACAGCATAGAGGATCGCACTGGCCACAACAGACTCATAGAAAATCCTCAGCATTTTCTGGCAGATGTTGAAGGACCTCAGTCGCCTCAAAAAATAGAGACGACTCTGGCCCTTCCTGTAAAGTGCTGTGGTGTTTTTAGCCCAGTCCAGTTTATTGTCAATGTGTACTCCAAGGACTACAAAGTACAGATATTTGTTTGAAAATGTAGGAAGTAAAAGTACAAAGTTATCAGAACTACTGAAGTAAAGTACACATACCTGAAAATTCTGCTAAAGTACAGTAATGAAATATTTTTACTTAGTTACTTTCCACGTCTGCTTACTACTAATTAGCAGTGTTAATTGTCATTCATGTTAATGTTACTAACTTATACAAAGTTCAGTGTTGAACGCGTTAGAATGCAAACATAAGGTTACAATAATGTAAAGCTGGGCGATAGAACGATAACGATATGTATTGCGAAATAACTTTTTCTCGATAGAAAAATTAGACTATCCAGAGCTCAACAGGAAGCCAATGTCAAAGCACAAAACTAAACAAAGGTTTAAAATACCAATTTTTTAGCCTTGAAAAGTTTGCAATTTACAGCCTGATAAAAGCCTCTTCATAACTGTTGTGGCTTCTGACTATTTTTCACCACAAAAATTCTGCACACCTGAATGGGCATCATGTGGCTTGAAGGAAAAAAAGACAATAAAAATAATTAAATACAATTCCTACGAACTGCCTCACTTACTGCTTGTACATTTATAAAATTATAACATTTATTTCCATCTGAACTTCATCAGGTATACCTGGACTATATATTCCCAATAAATGTGTGATACAGTGCTTCTGGAAAGTATTGTAATGTTGTAGCCTTATTTCAACATGAATTAAAGTCACTTTTCACCAAAATAATTAAAGAGATAAGGGTTGTTTTTAGTGGTGTTTAACATTTAAGAACATTACTAATTATTTGCAAGAGCCAAACTGAGTGACATTCACTTTTGACATGCACCTCAGGTGCATCGGCCCAACTAGGGGGCTCTCTAACTGGTGGGGAGGTTGTCATATCTTTGCAGGTGGTCTCCTCACTACAGGAGCTCACTCTGCAGGTGGGGGGAGAGATATAGGAGAGGTGGAGAATGAACTCAACCTGGGTGTCTATTGTCTTGTGTAATTTGGGAGATGATTGGATGATGGGGTGGGTGCAGTTTTCTCTGGGGTGTAGTCGGGTGGGCTGCCCCGGACTCTGTGGGGCTGGGCGGTGCTGCTGCTGCGGGCCCCGGACCGGATGGGCCTGGGCCCCCTTGCCCTGGTGGGTTCCAGAGTGTGAGGGTGCCTACTGGGGTCAGCGGGGGAGCTGGCCCCAGGGAGGGGCCGCTTGCCCCTCCCTTTCTTCCCTCCCCATCCTCAGCTGCCTCCCTATTCCCGCTCTACCACACCCACCCACACACGCAGGGCTTGGGGTGCAGGTATGTCACCAGGGTGCAGGGGAGGCACTCCCCCTCTGTCCCCTTCTGGCCGCCTGTGCCTCAATTTTATTCTGCAACCTAGACATCCACATTACTCACACTCTCACATAACACATACATATAGGGCCTTGGGGGTGGGCACGTTTTACAGCATCCAGAGGATGGTCGGTGTACTCCAACCCACCTCTGGCGCTGGTGCCCTACCCTCAATTTTAAATGCATTATAGACACTAAGGGTTTTCGGGAGGAGCCGTGCTGCTCTCTGAGAGGAAGCTAGTACCATGCTCTCCTGTGTTTTAAATGCACTTTAGAACAGCACACAGCAACACTACATATGAGCGGGCGTAGGGAGGTTTGAGGGTCTTCACTCACCCCGGTTCTGTTAGCCGTCAGGGCTGGGGGGCTGGGAGGAGGTGCTGGCCGTCAGACTGGGGTCTGGGATGCGGGGCCTCCCTGCTACTGCAGATAAGGAGGGTGGTCCGCTTGCCTCCACCCCAGAGAGAAGGGTTACATCTCCTGGGTCTAGGTGCGACTTGCCCCTCTGAGGGCGGGGGTACCTGGACCTGGGATATAGAGTATGTTTGGGGAGTGCGACTGTCTGTACAGTGTCTATTGCGATAGACCTCGCCGCTCTTGTCCTCTTAAAAAAAAAAAAAAGAACAGCCAATCCAAATTAAGTAGCGCAGAGCCGAACCAATCACAGCCGCAGCGTCACGTCACGTGACTTGTTACGTACAGCACAAGTGCCAAGCCGCACATGTGTATTTGTTTGGGAAGCAGCCAGCCGCGTGGAGAAATGAGTGTGCCGACTAGAGAAAAATCAACCGAGAGCGTGACCGAAGGTTACCGAAGAGAAAACAGATGATGGTTCCAACGCCGGAGAGATTGTCGAACGGAAGAGCCATAGAAGTTCCGTAGTGTGAAGGTATTTCGGCTATTTCAAGTCTGACAAAAAACAGAGTACGCGCACTGTAAATTGTGCCGAAAGCAAGTCTGGAAATACAATAAACCGGTGCATGCTCAATCTCTTGATATTGACAAAAGTTAGTCAATTTTGTCTGTTCTTCTGTAAAACAAACTAAGATTTATTTTTAGAATTAATATTTTGTTTCTAAGTGGAATTGACAATTTAGTCTGTTTCGTTTGTTCTATTTTGAAACTTAAACGCTTTAGCGGCTGCCTTTTGTGTAGTTTGCAATATTTGCCTTTATTTATCTGAAAAAGTCTCATGTTCCTTAAGTACATCTACCCTGTTGAACTTATTATGGGAAATAAATATTTAAATAAAAACAAGCTGCTGATTATTTCACATTTTACTTGTGAGCAACGGCACATTTAAATCTTACAAATATAGTTATTTGGCTTATATCGTGATAGATATCGTTATCGCCTGAAATGAAAAAAACATATCGTGATATGAAAAAATCTTATATCGCCCAGCTCTACAATAATGCACTTCAGTCTACGGTCTGAGCACAGTGATGAGTTGGTGAGTGCTGTTGACTTATTCCAAGTGTCACTGGTAGCAATGGGTACTACAGATACACTATTAATGTAACTGAACTCCTGGTTGTGGTTACACTGTGAAATCCGAGCGATGAATCTTGCACATTCAGTTCAGCAACTTTCTAACATGTTTTTGGTCGATATGTGTTACCGACAGGCCATGGGACGTCTTTCAAGACCGACTGCCACAACTGTTACTGCTTCGCTGGTGAGACCGTCTGCTCCACTAAAGAGTGTCTCAGCTCTGGATACACAGATGACAGTCATCGACACTTTACTGGTTAGTGTTTCAATAGAGTTTGGACATTTCTGATAATGAACTACAGGTTAATCCATCCATCCATCCATCTTCATCCGCTTTATCCGGGGCCGGGTCGCGGGGGCAGCAGCCTAAGCAAGAGAGCCCAGACCTCCCTCTCCCCAGCCACCTCCTCCAGCTTATCCGGGGGAACACCAAGGCGTTCCCAGGCCAGCCGAGAGATATAATCTCTCCAGCGTGTCCTGGGTCTGCCCCGGGGCCTCCTCCCGGTGGGACATGCCTGGAACACCTCACCCAGGAGGCGCCCAGGGGGCATCCTTGTCAGATGCCCGAACCACCTCAGCTGGCTCCTTTCGATGTGGAGCAGCAGCTGCTCTACTCTGAGCCCCTCCCGGATCAGCTAGACACCAGGTGGTGATCAGTTGACAGCTCAGCCCCTCTCTTTACCCGAGTGTCCAGAACATATGGTCGCAGGTCTGGTGATACGATTACAAAATCGATCATCGACCTACGGCCTAGAGCGTCCTGGTGCCACGTGCACTTATGGACACTCTTATGTTGAACAGGGTGTTCGTTATGGCCAAACTGTGATTAGCACAGAAGTCCAATAACAAAGCACCGCTCGGGTTCAGATCAGGGAGGCCATTCCTCCCAATACGCCCCTCCAGGTCTCCTGTCGTTACCCACGATGAGCATTGAAGTCTCCCAGAGGAAACAACAGAGTCTCCAGGTGGAGCACCTTCCAGCACCCCACCCAGGGACTCTAAGTAGGCTGGGTACTCTGAACTGCCACTCGGCGCATAAGCGCAGATGACAGTCAGGACCCGTTCCCCGACCCTAAGGCGCAGGGAACAAACCCTCTCATCCACCGGGAAAAACCCCAACGTACCGGCAGCAAGCCGAGGGGATATTAGAATACCCACCCCAGCCCGCCGCCTCTCACCAGGGGCAACTCCAGACTGAGACAGAGTCCAGCCCCTCTCCAGGAGACTGGTTCCAGAGCCCAAGCCATGCGTAGAGGTGAGCCCGACTATATCTAGCCGGTACCTCTCAACCTCACGCACTAACTCAGGCTCCTTCCCCACCAGAGAGGTGACATTCCATGTCCCTATTGCCAGTCTTGGCAGCCGGGGGTCAGTCCGCCAGGGCCTCCGCAATGCACCCGACCCCTATGGCGCCTCCTGCGGGTGGTGGGCCTGCAGGAGGATGGGCCCATGTCCCTCTTTCGGGCTGTGCCCGGCCGGACTAAGGCCCGGCCACCAGACGCTCGCCCTCGGGCACCCTCCCCAGGCCTGGCTCCAGGGCGGGGCCCCGGTAACCCTATCCCGGGCAGGGTAAACTGTTCCCTCGATGTTTTTCTCATAAGGGTCTTCTGAATCGCTCTTTGTCTGGTCCCTCACCCAGGACCAATTTGCCATGGGAGACCCTACCAGGGGGCAAAAGCCCCCAGACAACATAGCCCCTGGGATCCCTGGGACACACAAACCCCTCCACCACGATAAGGTAGCGATTCACAGAGAGGCAGGTTAATGCAATATTATTTATTAAATATAAGAGATAAAAGTGGCTGTTGTTGGTTATTAAAACATGTTAGACATGTACGATGGATTATCCCCAAATTCAGTGTTGAAGAAAAGAAAAATCACACTTGTCCAAGAATATTCCACGCAGTAACATCCAGAGCTCAACAGGAAGCCAATGTCAAAGCACAAAACTAAACAAAGGTTTAAAATACCAATTTTTTAGCCTTGAAAAGTTTGCAATTTACAGCCTGATAAAAGCCTCTTCATAACTGTTGTGGCTTCTGACTATTTTTCACCACAAAAATTCTGCACACCTGAATGGGCATCATGTGGCTTGAAGGAAAAAAAGACAATAAAAATAATTAAATACAATTCCTACGAACTGCCTCACTTACTGCTTGTACATTTATAAAATTATAACATTTATTTCCATCTGAACTTCATCAGGTATACCTGGACTATATATTCCCAATAAATGTGTGATACAGTGCTTCTGGAAAGTATTGTAATGTTGTAGCCTTATTTCAACATGAATTAAAGTCACTTTTCACCAAAATAATTAAAGAGATAAGGGTTGTTTTTAGTGGTGTTTAACATTTAAGAACATTACTAATTATTTGCAAGAGCCAAACTGAGTGACATTCACTTTTGACATGCACCTCAGGTGCATCGGCCCAACTAGGGGGCTCTCTAACTGGTGGGGAGGTTGTATATCTTTGCAGGTGGTCTCCTCACTACAGGAGCTCACTCTGCAGGTGGGGGAGAGATATAGGAGAGGTGGAGAATGAACTCAACCTGGGTGTCTATTGTCTTGTGTAGTTTGGGAGATGATTGGATGATGGGGTGGGTGCAGTTTTCTCTGGGGTGGAGTCGGGTGGGCTGCCCCGGACTCTGTGGGGCTGGGCGGTGCTGCTGCTGCGGGCCCCGGTCCGGATGGGCCTGGGCCCCCTTGCCCTGGTGGGTTCCAGAGTGTGGGGGTGCCTACTGGGGTCAGCGGGGGAGCTGGCCCCAGGGAGGGGCCGCTTGCCCCTCCCTTTCTTCCCTCCCCATCCTCAGCTGCCTCCCTATTCCCGCTCTACCACACCCACCCACACACGCAGGGCTTGGGGTGCAGGTATGTCACCAGGGTGCAGGGGAGGCACTCCCCCTCTGTCCCCTTCTGGCCGCCTGTGCCTCAATTTTATTCTGCAACCTAGACATCCACATTACTCACACTCTCACATAACACATACATATAGGGCCTTGGGGGTGGGCACTTTTACAGCATCCAGAGGATGGTCGGTGTACTCCAACCCACCTCTGGCGCTGGTGCCCTACCCTCAATTTTAAATGCATTAGACACTAAGGGTTTTCGGGAGGAGCCGTGCTGCTCTCTGAGAGGAAGCTAGTACCATGCTCTCCTGGTTTTAAATGCACTTTAGAACAGCACACAGCAACACTACATATGAGCGGGCGTAGGGAGGTTTGGGGTCTTCACTCACCCCGGTTCTGTTAGCCGTCAGGGCTGGGGGGCTGGGAGGAGGTGCTGGCCGTCAGACTGGGGTCTGGGATGCGGGGCCTCCCTGCTACTGCAGATAAGGGGGTGGTCCGCTTGCCTCCACCCCAGAGAGAAGGGTTACATCTCCTGGGTCTAGGTGCGGACTTGCCCCTCTGAGGGCGGGGGTACCTGGACCTGGGATATAGAGTATGTTTGGGGAGTGCGACTGTCTGTGCAGTGTCTATTTGTGTCTGTCTACACGTTGGTTGAGTGCCGAGTATTTGGTTGTGTATATGGGGTGGGAATGCACGTCTGTGTCCGCGTGCGCCTGTTCGCAAACCTTTGGAACACAAGCATGCTGATCCACACAGGTGTGCACATGGGTATTCACAGACGTGGACTACAGCTTTCTTGGCTGCTGTCTCAAAGCACATTGTGCGCTGTCTATCTTGCGTGCTGCACAATATCGTTTAATATTTAGTATCTACTGATATCTACTGCTAGCTAGTTTATTGTGATGGTGCCGTTTTTTTTATTATGTTGCTCTTTGTTGTTTGCTTTCTCTTCTGTTTTTTCTCTCCATACAGGTGACCCAGGTGTTTTGTTTTTTTTGTTTGTTTGTTTTTCTTTTTTTCTTCCCCCCCTTCTCACCGTCTCTTCTCCCCTTTGGTTTTCTTTCTCCCCCTCTCTTTCTTTCATTCTCTCTCCCTGTCCTATCCCCCAGTCATGTCTGTCCCGTTTGTAGGAACTGAAAATAAAATAAATACATAATTATAATAAAGGTCAATCAAATGGACCAATATGGCAAGGCCATGACGATCCACTTGGTAAAATAAATCCGCTTGGCATCTTTCTTGGCCTTAAGGCAACAATTCTGATGGCTAAAGATCCAAACGGGACACAAAAAAAAGGAAAGAAAAAAAAAGAGATAAGGGTTTATGATTAGATTGCTAAAATTGCATCCGGTGGGTTAAAAAGCAAGGCATGGACAGAACTAAACCCCAGTATTCTGAGATGTTTGCCTCTACTTTGGAGAGTATGATGGATTAGAATACAACCCTAACAGGTTATTTTCCTTAAAGCGGATTGTTTCTTTTAGCTTTCTGTTAACTCTTGGTTGTATATAAGTCACGCTTCTCAGTGAAATAGTGGTTTCTGTCTCCCTCTGCCCTCCCCTAGGTCTTCCCTGTAGCTGCCAGGACCGCTTTGTTCCAGTGTGTGCCTCTAATGGGCGGACATATCCCAGTGCCTGCGTTGCTCGATGTATGGGATTCAAGGACAGTCAGTTTGTCTTTGGCCCGTGCCACCTCAGTAAACCATGTGCCAGCAAACCCTGCCAGAGAAACCAGAGGTGGGTTCAGTACATTTTACTTGCTCTCTGTTCTTGTCCCAACTAGGGATGGGAATTGATACGAATTTTGGAATTCTGATTCCATTATCAACATCACTTATCAATTCAATTCCTTATCGATTCTCTTGTCGATTCTATCAAGGTCAAGGTAACTTTATTTATACCCAAAGACAAGGTAAATTTGCTTTACAGAAAAATGACAGCATTTGGCATCCCTTTAAAAAAACACACATACCTAGTAAATATATAAAGCTCACTGTGGCACATATATAGTAATTTTAATATTTCGAATCAAAACCAGTTCCTATTTAATTCAGTGACAGCAACAGGGACAAAGCTATTTTTATAACGCTTTGTCCTGCATCTCGGAAATAGAAACCTCCGTCCTGAGGGAAGAAGCTGAAATTCACCCCTTAGAGGATGGGAACCATTTTTAAGGATTGATAAAGCCATCCTCTGTACCTGCTTAGAGTACAGGGAGGCTAAACAAGACTGTGGCTCACCTATCAGACGACTATTTGGGTGGTCTTTAGGTCGGCTTCACCACTAGAAGACATTACATTCATGCAAATTAACTGCATGCTGTGTGGTCAAATGTTTGTCCATGTTGGAAGTTGTCACGGTGGGCTGCGCTGGGGTATTTTGTGAACGGGCCCAAAAGCAGATGCAGAGAGGTATAGCTGGTTTCAACACAAAGTGAGCCTTTATTCAGGCTGAAGGCAGCTGCAAACATGAAACTATAAACAAACTATGACTGACTGTGAAAACTGACGAGTATTCACAAAGCAGGAACTCCAGCAACACTTGAGGGAAGATGAACAACTTTAATAATAGACCAACGCGTTTCGGCTTGTGGCCTTCATCAGGGTCATGCAGTACCTTACATTACTTCGAAACATATTGCAAATGCAGGACTCAAACTGCAGGACTCTGAAGGGTTATGATTAAAGTGGATTTATTTACAGAGTGACACCTGGTGCTTTACACAGTGGCTAAGGGGAAAGGGCTCTAGGGAATCGAGGAAAGGGAAACGCGTCCAAAAGCTCTTCACCAAGACAGTCACCCACAGGTCCAACTCGCAATCTATGCTGACGCTCACTCACGACACACTCGCTCGAGTGTCCAGTCACAATGGGACTAGAGAGGTAAGGTTTGAGCTGGAAGACAACATGCATGTGCATATTGCGAGGTAACTTCAGACAGGCAGAAACAGGGTTAGGAGGGTTGAGAGCCAGTTTTCTAGAATCTTTCCAGATTCTACTAGATTCTACTAGCCCTCTGCTGGGCTAATGGGGAGGTCAAGGGTCCGATGTCGGTCTGCCAGCTGCTTGTTATGTTCCTTGGTTGGAAGGAGAGCGGCTCAGGTGGCCCTCCATAGGCAGCAAAACCTGCGCAGATGATGAATGTAAGGGACTGAAGCCACGGTCAAAGATGATGTCCAAAGGATCCCATGGAGCCGGAAGATGTGGTTCGTGAAGAGTTGGGCTGTAGGGAGTTTAGATAAGGTCACAAAGTGAGCCACTTTAGAAAAGCAATTAACGATAGTCAAAATTACCGTGTTCCTGGCATAAGGAGGTAGACCGGTCACGAAGCCAAGGGCAATGTGTGACCACGGTCGTACAGGGGTTGGCAAAAGTTGAAGCAGGCCAATGGGGGGAGAGCTCTTTGACTTGTTTTGAGGTAGTGCTGGCAGAAACATACTACCTTGTGTCCTTGGCCAGCGGTGTTCACCAGAAGAGGTGTTAAAGGAAGGAGATAGTTTGGTGAATCCCTGGACGGCAGGTGAACTTGTCCAGTGGAGTACCTGAGGCCGGACAGAGGATGAAACATAAAGTCTCTTGGTGGGCCGGGTACAGGGTGAGGTTCCAACCACTGAGCCTCCCAAATAGCTGATTTGGTCTCCCAGGTCACCGCTCCCATGATGCAGGTACGTGGGAGAATCCAGGATTCTTGGGGGTGTCTTCAGAGGTCGAGAATTGCCGGGAGAGCCCGTCGGGCTTTATGTTGCGTGAACAAGGCCTGTAAGTGTTGGAAAAGTTGAAACAGGTGAAAAACAGAGCCCACGTGGCTTGTCGGGCGTTTAGCCAATTGGCGGACTGCAGATAGGCAGGTTCTTATGATCGGTCCAGACGATGAATGTTTTTGAAGTTCCTTCGAGCCAGTGCCGCCACTCCTGCAAGACAAGCATTACGGCTAGGAGTTCCCAGGTCCCCTACTTCATAGTTATGTTCTGCAGGAGTAACAGTAGTAAGCACAGGGGTGGAGCTTACCTTCATGGTCTTTCTAGCGCACAGCTCCCACCCCAGGGTCGGAGGCATCCTCCTCCATGATGAACTGGCGTGTTAGGTCCAGTAGTGATAGGATAGGAGTAGAGACGAAGGGTTTCTTGAGGTGGTTAAAGGCAGTCTGAGCTAATTGGTCCCACTGAAACAATACTGTGGGAGAAATCAAGTGAGCGAGAGGCAAGGCAATTCTTCTAATGTCCCGGATGAAACAGTGATAGAAATGAGTGAATCCTACGAAGCACTGGAGTTGTTTTCAATTAGAAGGCTTGGGCCAGTCAAATACTTCTTGAACTTTAACCGGATCAGGCTTGAGATTCCCCTGCTCAATGATGTAATCCAGGAAAGAGACCGTTTTCACATGGAATTCACAATTCTTCCCTTTTACAAACAAATTGTTTCTCCAACCCGAATGGCATCACCAAGTAATCAAAGCAGTTCGTGTGACAATCATCTCCTCACCCAGAGATGTAATCTTTCCTCCGGTCAATATTGGGATCATGTTGCTGGAGCCAGGGATAACCTAAAACGAGCGGAGTGAGAGGAGTCTTGAACACGGAAAAACTGATCAGTTCAGAGTGGCTGCCAGGGAGGGTGAGAGCGACCGGTTCAGTTACGTGAGTGATATCTGGAACCTTCTGATATCAGCTTGGCTATCAGTAGATATATGTCTCATCTGAGCTAATAATCAAATTATGAGCAAATAACTTTATAATTATTATTGATTATTCTATTTTAAAACTGCATCCTTCTTCATTTTGTTACTAATACAAGATCAGCACGTTTAAAATCAAATTCTGTATTTGTGAAGCATCTGTAAAAGATGCTGAGACCAACAAGAATTGCAAAACAGCATTGATTGTGATACATCAGCTCATCAGCTGTGTTGGTGCAACAATGGTGTAATAAAATGTTAAACTAAAATGAGCATACACACACACACACACACGCACACACACACACGCACACACACACACACACGCACACACAAACACACACACACGCACACACACACACACACGCACACACACACACACACACACACAGAGCGAGCGCTGAAGCTCTTTGCTTTCTCACAGTAAACAATGCAGTGAGTGATCCACCTCAGGTGTGTGTAACACATGATTCGCCCAGCCTTGAAGACTTTTCTGTTGCTATGGTAATAGAGCAAGGTTCTGTGTGTTCAGAAGAAAAAGGTTTGCTCCTGTTCATTTTCTCTTTTTATTGCAGCTTTGGAAATTGCGTACACATAGTTCCTTAAAGAACAGAATGGAGTTATATACATGCAGTGCTGTGATAAAGGATTTGCCGTTGTGATGATTTTTTGCATACATTTGACTTAGTGGTCACACTAGCACAAGCACATTTTAAATGATTATTTAATTTATTAAGAAGAAAGAGTTATCCAGGCTAATCTGCCCATATGTGATTAAAGCTTGTGTCTTTAATCTAATTATATTTATTTTGATGACCTGTAACATATAGGTGTGGCAAATATGTAACAGACTAAGAAATCAGGGGCGCTCAAGGGGCAAATACTTTGCCGTGATACTATATGTTTATGTGTACTTTGGCAGGTGCATCCCAAAGTATCGCGTGTGTCTGAGTGACGTGTCGGACTGTCCGCAGTATGAGTGCATCGGGCACGCGGCAACCTGCGACAAGAACAGCGAGGACCCAGCCTGCGACACTGAGGGCATCGACCACCGCAGTCTGTGCCATTTGCACCAGGCTGGGAAAATCTTGGCCTACATGGGCCGCTGCCAGGTATGTTCCACAGAAAGGTTCAGACAGAAGTTTTCAGGGGGATTGTCCTCACCTTGAGAAACTGGAAATTGCTGAGCTAAGAGTTCAGAATCTGCTGTTGTTGTTGTTGTTTTTGTCACTTTATTTTAAGCAGGAGACTTAATCATGTGACTTCTTCAGTGTTATTAAAGCTAAAAGCCTCTCAGTATTAGAAGGACTTCCGTAAAGGTTTACTTATGCTCTCAGTTAGGCCCTAACCTAAGGTTCAACACAAGCAAATAAAATAAATAAATAAATAAAATAAAAAACCCTGAAAAACCCTGAAAAACCTTCAGTCAGCTGCAACAAAAGTGGACAGGGATTAGAAAGAGGAAGCATATTTCTCCCATTTTGGCTTCTCTTCACTGGCTCCCTGTGAATCTCATCTTAAAGACCTGGTAGTATTCTATCACCCCAACTGAGCAGGTCAGTCTCAGAGCGCTGGGGTGTTTGTAAACCGTAAACAGGGCATTGAAAAGTGGAACTGTTTGGATTCAGGAGACAGACAGTATCTCTACTTCTAAGATTAGGTTTAAAACTTTGCTTTTTGATAAAGCATATAGTTAGGGCTGGATCAGGTGACCCTGAATCCTCTTAGTGCATCATGGGGAGCCCCCAGCAGCCTAGGCCTACTGCAGCCTAACTGTTTCTTTTCACTCACTCTGCATTGAATAATTAGTTACCAATCATTTCTGGCACTCTTCGACAGTGTGTCTTTTGTCATGTCTGCACTTTCATAAAGACGCTGACTGTAATGACAGCTGGGGTGGATGAGGCTAAGCATCAGCCTTTCAAATGAATTTAAAGTCTGTCTGGGTCTTTGGTTGATTAATAGGCTGGTGTGGAAAAATGCTGCCACTACTCCTCCTATTCTGACAGTTGTTATGATTCGGAGTGTTGATTCATTTAAACTAACATAATCATCCTGCTGCAAACAGGTTTCTGTAAGGCAGAGTAAATCCATTTGTTGATCAATTATTAAGTCATGTACTAACAGAGACTTGGAGGAGAGAGACCTAATATTTAATAATCCACATTTCACTGGGTTTTTTTTGTAAACATATTTATTGAATTTTGTATTCATAAACATCCAACACTTTAAACACCTTGAATATGTGGCAGTAAGAAAGCACTAAGAAAGCAAGACATTCAAAAAACAAATTTAAAAAAAATACTAAGGGAAATTAAAAAAAATATAAAATAAAATTCGCCCTATGACAGCTGGGATAGGCTCCAGCGCCCCCCGCGACCCTGAAAAGGAGAAGTGGAAGCGAATGGATGGATGGATAAAATAAAAAACAAAAAAAAAGTACAGGATAGTCTATACTATATACATTCCCAAATTTAGTTGCATATTTTCATTACATTATTCTCTCTCCAGTTCCTCAATATCCCCAGTCTTTAATAGCTCCAGGATCATTTTCCAAATGTCAAAAACTTCTGATGATCTTTTCCTAACCACATAGGTCAGTTTCTCAGGAACTAAACTTGATGACACACTGTTTAACCATTGGTCAAAAGAGGGGCCACCAACATTCTTCCAGCATATTGCAATGCAACATTTGGCCTGGAGTAAGCAAAGGTCAACCATCTTTCTGTCTGAGCTAAATTACAGTCATCTTAATAAATGCCTAAAATACAGACGTTAGGACTTAATGGGACAGGGTGATCTGAGAAATATATTTTAACACTGAGCACTAAAACTTTTGAATCTTTTCACACTCCCACAAAGAGTGGTACAATGGACCCTTGTGATCGGTACACTTATAACATATGTCCACTATATTAGGATAAAACATTAAAACATTTTTTCAATGTCTACCCACAGCAAGAAAACGTATTTAGAAAGCTAAAACATTGTGGCCCTCAGCTGAGCAGCCCAATGATACCATTCTAGGTTTGGCAACTGTAGCCCTCCTCTATCATAGGGCACGTAGAGGAGAGAGAGTCGAAGTCTTGGCTTCCTGTTGTTCCAGAAAAAATTAGAGAGAAGCTTTCTGTTTTTTGGGAAAAAAGAAGGTGGCGGGGCTAGTGGAACTGATTGAAAAGCATATAGGAATTTGGGTAATATGGTCATCTTTTTTATGTTTATTCTTCCCAGTATAGATATAGGCAATGTTGTCCATCTGTTGATCTCTTCCCCCAATTCTGCTACCATGGGTTCGTAGTTGGTTGAACTAAGTTTGCTTATAGTTGGAGTTATTCTGATACCCAAGTATCGAAATCCTTATGCAGCATTCACAAATGGGTGGGATACTAATGGTTTTCTCCTCTCATTACCATTTAAAAACATAATTGATGATTTTTCTCTGTTCACCTTGAATCCCGAGATTGTACCAAGTTGATTAATCAATTCCAAGAGAGCAGGTATTGTTCCTGCAAGCTGTGATAGAAACAAAATAGTATCATCAGCATACATTGCTATCTTGTGTTCAATATCCATGGTCTTAATGCTGTGAATTGAGGTGTGTGATCTAACCACTATCGCCAGTGGTTCCATGTCTAAAACGAAAAGGTGAAATTGGTGACCCTTGTCTCGTACCTCGAAACAATTCAAAAGGGTGAGAGATGAAGTTATTAGTAGATATCATTGCAGTAGTATCAACAAGTATTATTTTGACCCATCCACAAAAATGTTCACCAAATCCAAACCGTTTAAGCACCTCGAGCATATAGGGCCATTCCACTCGGTCAAATGCTTTTTCTGCATCGAGAGATAAGATTGCATTGTCAGGGAACTCTTCACAGGCATGAATTATATTAAGAACTCTCCTCACATTGTGAAACCCCTGTCGGCTTTGCACAAAACCATTTTGGTCCGTATGTGTAATGGCAGGTAGTATCCTTTCTAGTCTCATTGCTAAAACGTTTGCTATAATCTTTGCATCGGAATTTAAAAGTGATATGGGTCTGTATGAACCTTGTTCAGGGGCCTCTTTGCCTGGCTTTAGAATAAGAGTGATCAGAGCATTTCGTAATGAAGCAGGGAGACTCCCTGTTTTAAAGGATTCCAAATACACATCTACCAATTGACTGTGTGCACGTTAGCATATGCTACTTCTGGTGTGGAAACTCCTGTGGAGAGCTTTGTTTCCGGTGTCCTATTCACGCCTGGTTTACGGTCCAAAACAAGTTAAGCAAATGAATGAATCAAGCGGCGATTTACATTTCTATAGATGTTTTGGGATATTTACCCAATATATCTGTAAATGATAAACATAGCTTTTGTTTGTATGTATGTATAGTACAAAAAGAACACAATCAAATACACTTCCCATAATGTAAATAGTGCCTGGTGTGTTCTGTCCTCAGGAAGGCTGCAGAAAGCCAAAACAAGTCTGTGGCCATAATGGCGAAACCTACAACACGGTATGTGGCGCGTATTCTGACCGTGTCACTGTGGACTATGAGGCCCCCTGCAGAGCTGTGGGAGCCGTCTCTGACATGGCCCCTGACTCAGCCTGCAGTTTGGTTTCATGTCCAAGTCTGTCCACTCCAGGCTGCCACCCTGTCACTCCACCAGGTGAGTGGAGTAGCACCATACATGAAAAGGTTAACTGGGGTCAGCCAGCAGACAAAATTACACCGTGTACATGACATTTATGTAGCGTCATGGGCAGTACGGTGGTACAGTAGTGAGGACTGGTTCCTGGCAGGACCTTTCTGTGTGGAGAGCGCGTGTTCACCCTGTGCCTGCATGATGACTGCAGCTCCCTCAGGCCAGGACATGCATTTTAGGTTAACTGGTGATTCTAAGTTGACTGTGGATGTGAGGTAAAGTGGTTAAAAATGTCTGAAACACTTTTAACTGTCAGTACAAGTAGGATAGTGTCACATAAAGATGTTGCATTTTATTATAATATGTTCTCTGAACTTTATCCAGGAGCCTGTTGTCCCATATGTGCCAGCATCCTGCAGATCCTCTGGAGCAAAGAGCGAATGAACACGTTCTCAAAGGTATGGACGGTTCACAGCTGTTTGTTTGTTTAGGTAACAAATCCACTGTCCAGTATGATATGTTTATGAATGATTTATGCTGATGACAAAGGGAGTTTCAAAGTACTATTTTCTTTAATCAGTGTTGTTAGGTTTGACTTAGAGGTAGGGTATGAAAGCTAGAGCAGGTAAAATCAATATTGACCAGTTTTCATGGTGATGTGTCATGTTTGGAGGGAAAGGGTACTTCATATGGCCCCAGAAACACCATACCCGAACTGAAATTTGGTGCTGGGAACATCATAGTGTCGGGCTGTTTTTTCTCTATACACCACTGGCATTCTTCATGTAATTGAATGAAGGATGAATGGGAAAATGTACCAACACATTCTTGATAAAAATCTGCTGCCAAGATGATGAAGATGAAAAGAGGGTCGTTGCTGCAACAAGACAATGATCCCAAACAAACAGCCAGGGATGCTGTGTGAGACTTTGTCTGAGCCGCTCTAGCATTGTCCTCTATGGGCAAGGGAGATGGAGGAGGCTGTGCTTATGACATTCATGGGAGAACTGTAAATCCTGTCTTGATGAGACTGACCCTGGATGAACGAGAAGGATGGTGGGTACATTTTGATGTATATTTTATACCAGCGGTCCCCAACCCCCGGGCCTTGGACCAGTACCGGTCCGTGAGTCGTTTGGTACCGGGCCGCGAGAGTTGAGGCTCAGGTGTGAAATGTCTGGTTTTCAGGGTTTTTATCGGTTTTCAGCGTTATTTTGTTATCGTTTTTATCGTTAACTCGGTTTTCCTGGGTCTTTTCACGTGTGTTATGAATAAATCTTTTTTTTTTTGGTACCGGTACTAGTTTTATTTTGTTGTATTTATCCGCGACATCTTGAAGGCCGGTCCATGAAAATATTGTCGGGCATAAACCGGTCCGTGGTGCAAAAAAGGTTGGAGACCGCTGAATTATACCATCAAACCCATAAATATTTGGACAGAGACAGTTTATGTTTTTTTTATTTTGGTTGTGTACATTACCACAATGAATTTGAAATGAAGCAACTCAGGTGCAGTTGAAGAGCTTTCAGCTTTAAGTCAGTGCGACTGCCTAAAACTGTGAGGACCCAAAGCATTCTTCTAATGGAGTCTCTTCATTTTAGGAGCTCAGAGTTGGACAGATTGGTGCAGTGTGCAGCACTGTAGCCTCACCTGAGTTCAGTTCCACCATCAGCCTTTCTGTGTGGAGACAGCATGTTCTCACTGTGATGGCGTGGGTTCTCCGGGTACTCTGGCTTCCTTCCACAGTCCAAAGAAGTGCAGTTAGTGGGGTTAGGTTAACTGGTAAATCTAAAGTACCCATAGGTACGAATGTGAGTGCGAATGAAAGACCAGACAAAGAGCGATTCAGAAGAACACCATGGGAACTGGTCACCCTGCCTGAGATAGGGTTACCAGGCCTCACCCTAGAGCCAGGCCGGCAGAGGGTGCCCGAGGGCGAGCATCTGCTGACTGTAGAAGTAATGTTCATCCAAGAGGGTCTTTTCATTGGCCTTCAGGTCAACGGTGATCCAGGGTTTCTTACTGGGAAAACAGACATACAGTCCTAGTTGAGAGGATGTATCCTCACAGAAATGTGTATGGTCAGTGATGCAGTCTGTGCTGCTGTTGATGTCTTCCCCATATGGATCATCCCAGTCTGTCGCATCCAAGCAGTGCTGCAGGGTCTGGCTGGCATCCTAACTACACCTCCTCACAGACTTGGTGGAAACAGGAAGTCTTTGAACACATCAACATGCATACATCCTGTGCGTTCTCAGAGGTTTATTCATTTTACAGACTGCTGGGAGGTTGTCAGAGTCAATCATCACAAACGTCTCAGGGTGTTTACACTGTAGGTCAGCTACAGTCGTGTGGAAGAGGTCACACAGAGGTCATCAGCTGATGCTGGTACATAAACACCAGTCAATAAGCTGAGGGTGTACTGAGTGATCAGCACTAGGTTACTCTATAAAATTGTCTTTCTTTTCCCAAGCACATCAAAATAGTTTACAACATAACAGGTTACACATCACACCACAAACAACGTCTCTATAAAAGCATGATTGGGAATCCTAACATCCAGAAAATATAGATCGATATGTAGAAAAAATCAAACCCAGACACTCAGAGGAAGCCATGCCTGCCTGGATTACTTCATGTCAGAGGAAGAGCACAGCCCAAATGTGAGTGAGGGAGACAGTGATGTGGAGCTGCTGATGGATGTCCTGATCATAAATCAGTAAATGTTGTGGTGTGATGAGGCTGTAGTAACCTGTGCTTTTCCCAAGCACAGGTTACTACACTGGAACGGTCACCACACAGTCTCTTGTGTTATAAAGTGCTTCACGAACCTGAACATTACGGCTAACAGCTGGAGATTTTACTGTTTCAGTGAAGCTAGCCCAACAACAAAGAGCCACTTACTGTTTAACACAGTGACAGTGGACAGGTTACCAACATAGGACTCATAGTTGCAGCTGGGGGCGGCACAAACGTGACCCCCTCAGTAGCTGGCTAACATAAACTGATGTACTGACCCAACCAACCAATCTGGTGGCATCACGCTCTGTACTGACACAAGATGGTGCTGAACATGTTCTGTAACCTTTCATTTTAAGCACTTTGGTTTTTAAATCCAGGCAGACAGACAGAGTGAAGTCTTTTTTTCATGTAAATGAACTACTGCTGTCAGCGTTAATCTCGTTACAGCAAATCTCCATTAGTGTCAACGTGTTAGCGCGGTTAGTGCGGTGACGCGTTAGCGCTGTGCAGCCCCACAAAGGGGATATTTGCTGCGTTAATGTGGTTATGGCGTTAACGTCATTTTAACTAGATTAACACTGACAGCACTACTAGAAATGCATCGATTTCTGTAGTAAGCTCAATGCTGTTATTATATTTGTGTCAGTGTTTTCCAGTAAAGACAGATACTGTGGTGCTGTGCTGGGAGCATTTGTTGCCCTCATTAAAGTGTCACTGACCTGTTGTATGAAAGTTGGACAGCAACATGAATGTAATGCTGTGTGTCGCTGCGTGCAGCTGAACAAGAAGCAGCCGGTGACGGTCCACGATGTCCTTCAGATCCTGCGGCCTCACATCTCAGTGCCGCAGTGCGATGTTTTCGGCTACCTGAGTATTGACCACCTGCTGGTGGTCATCATCGCCCCAATGGACCAGCAGCCAACACCTCTGCAGGTAACAAACACCATCGTGCACACACACCAGATATAGTCTGTTATATCTGTTGTTCTGCACACGCTTATGTGTTCTTTACTTTGATGAGAATGTGTGAACATTGTGTTCACAGTGTTTGCAGTGAAAGGCTACACTTTAGCTGTGTGGCGTTCCCCTGAATGAATTAATAGCATGCATTTGTGTGTGTTGCTGTCACATGATCTTTTAATCACGTGTTCTGTTCGGCAGTCGTGACGAGCGCAGTTCAGGTCTCAATGCTTTGCTGTGCCAAACACATTGTTTCCCCAAGAAGAGCAGCTTTGGTGCTCTGTAGGCTTTATTGAATTTATTTATATTATATTATTATCTGTGTGGATGCTGCAGTCGACGGGGTGAAGGCTGAGGGGAACGTTGGAGATAAACCAAACACGTCAGGTCTCCAACTTTATTTCGTTACGGGACCAGTTGATCAAATCCCTAATAATCCATCCTTTAGGTTTTAGAGAACAAGACTGAGGAAATCTTTGAGGGTTAGAGTTAGACGAAACTAGACAAAGACATAGAAGCAGCAGCAGGGAAGATAAGGGAGGGAGAGGGTGAAAGATGGGCCCGCCTCCTCCGAGAGCCAGAGAGTCATGAAGCATGTAGTTAGGCCTGGATAGTTGAGGTTCAGTGGGATTAGGCCTCCCCATGCAGTATTTCTACCTAATCACCTTTTTCACTCACTATGTGTTTATGTGTGTTTCGTGACTGAGTAAAGATGGCGCCAGTGTGTACGGCAGGCCGTCCTCGTCTCTGTTGTCGATCTCTTTTCCTTGATATTTGTTTATTATTTGTTATCTTTCTGGCACTATGCCACCCAGATGGTTATGCATTAATCACCTATGACCGGGATACTTTGTTAAATCTTCATTTACCCCCCTATGCTGGGTTGGATCAAGGCTGGAATTTGGGAGATGCTACCTTTCCACGTATCATCTCTTCTACTGGTTCATACGGTTCCCCTCTCTGCTCCCCGCCTCAGAAGCGCTATAGGAAGCGGGGCAAATGGAGTGGGTTTAGGAAGCGGGGCAAACGGAGTGGGTTTCAGGTTCGCTTAAAGGCTTACCTTAAAACATCAGCTGCAGCTGACCACCGCGGGGATTATACGACTTCCATCTGCTCGGGATCCATCATCCTTCAGGCTGCTCAACCATCGCTGGATCTGTCCGGTCGGTAAACAAGCCTGTCCGGTTTCTCCGGTAGTCTCTCTGCCTGTTCGTGTTTGGATTGGGTCACCCAGTGATGGTGTACGGCTCAGGCATTTAAGCCGGCTAAGACGTGCTTCCAGCAGAGATAAGATGCCGATCTCTCAGATGGCTTTATTAAACGCAAGATCGCTGAAAAAAAATAAATATTTTTTTGTACTGAACTGCAGCCACTAGAAGACAGCTCTGCTGCCCTGACCTCTTCCTCTCCTCTCGGCTTGATGCTCAGTTATTGACTGAAACTTGGATTCGTCCTGGTGAGTCCTCTTCTTTTTCAGAGCTACTACCCCCGGACTGTGTAGTCTTCAGTTCACCTCGGGAAGAGGTGGAGGCGTGGCCTCTGTTTTTAAAAACAAATTTAAAGTTCGGCAACTGCCCTCTCCTACCTATTCTAGTTTTGAGGTTCAACTTGTGGAGCTTGCCGAACCCCCAACGATTCTATGTTCTGTGATTTATCGACCACCTAAATATAATAGGTGTTTCATTTGTGAATTTGCTGACTTCTTAGGTTCATTTTTATTAAGTTATGACCAAGCTCTTATCACTGGAGATTTTAACATACATATTTGTTGTGCTGATGACCCCCTAGCCAAGGATTTTCTTGCCCTAATTGACTCTTTTAACCTTACACAGTGGGTCAGGGAACCAACTCATCTTAAAAGTCATACCTTGGATTTGGTCCTCCCATATGCTTTGGATATTTGTACTATGGACATTGATAATGCTGGTATTTCTGGTTATGTTTGATGTTGAGCTATGTGAGCTATGTGCAATTGATTTAAATTCTAAAGGCTGTCATCGCCCTGTACGTATCATTAACTCTGAGACAGTGGCTAACTTTACTACAACCTTTCTAAACTTTGCCTTTTTTGATCCAGACTTCACTGATACAAACTGTTACACACCTCCATTGGTTGATGATTTTGCCAACGCTATGCTATCCACCTGTCGTTCCATCTTAGATACTGTGGCCCCTATAAAGATGAAACGTCCCAGAACTTCTCATCAACCATGGCTAAATGACACTATACGAGCCTTACATCGTGCCTGCCGTCAATCTGAAAGGATGTGGAAAAAAGACAGGCTTCAGATATCCTATGACATTCTTTGTAGGAGCCGCTTTCTCTACCAGAACTCCGTAAAGGCAGCTAAAGCAGCTTTGCTATCAGACATTATTGAGATTAATAGCCACAACCCCCGAATGTTATTCAAAATTTTTAATTCAGTGATGAATCCCTGTCCGGACTCTTCGAGCTCGGCCTCTCGGGCTGTCTGTGAGCAATTTCTTAATCCCGCTTGTACCATAGGCCTACTAGTACAAGTGGAAATACACTAAAAATACTAAATATTAAAATCTTGCTACTCACTTTTAAAATCCTGAATAACATTGCGCCCAGCTACCTCACTGACCTCCTCAATTTGTACACTCCTTGTCGTGCATTAAGATCATCAGGTCAATTAGTCTCGGCCCAATCTAAGTTTAGACTGAAGACCAGAGGCTATCGCGCCTTTGCTTCAGCTGCACCCAAGCTTTGGAACAGCCTCCCTGCTTCGATTCGAGCCTTGGACTCTATCCAGTCCTTTAAATCAAGATTAAAAGCATATGTATTTGACTTGGCTTTCCCGACCACTTAATACCCTTTTAAATCTTTTAATTTTTAAACTTTTAAATCTTTTATTAGATTTTATTAAATTTATTATTTTTATTAATTTTACTGCTGTTTTTGTCTTCGTAGCATATTTTGTATTTATCTAACTCTCCTGGTCTGTTAGTGCCTCTATCCTGTCTGTGCTTGTGCCTGATTTGTACCCTGTTTTTGACTTATGTTGACTCTCCATATTACTGTGAAGCACTTTGGTGTGCCTTCGGGTTTTTAAATGTGCTATATAAATAAAATCGTATTGTATTGTATTATTAACGTGCAGCTTTCTTACATAGTGGGTCTTCCTTCCAGCAGCCACAGCAGTCAGCTTTCCCTAGGATCTGCTGCTACCAAGCCCTTGCTCACAGCGTGTTGTTTTTTGGGCCTTTTCCATACAGTATAAAGCACCTTGTGGTGACTGTTGTTGTGTATAAATAATGTTTTGTTTTGCAGATTGAAGCCTGCAGTAAAGAGGCTGAGAAGATTGACTCCCTCATCAACTATGCCAGCCCCACTCTGGTGTCCCACGTCCCTCTGTCTGCCTTCCTCACCTCTGAAATCAAGACATCTTCCATCCACTCCTCAGGGAGCACGCCGTGGTCACCTCTGACACCCGCCCTGTGTTTCCTTCTGGGTCTCCTTGTTACACCGGCTCCGGTGCTCTAAGTGCCAGCCTCTGTGACTCCCAGTGCCAAAGTCAGGATGGTGGGCGTGTTCTGGCAGCAATGAACAGACGATCGTGATGACAATCATTCCTATTGGCTGACCTGCGTTTCAAACAATCAGGGTGGTTCAAAGCTTTTGTATCAACTGTGTTTAGTGAATAGTTACTCACTGGATTTCCCAGCCAGTGTGTGTGCGTGTGTGCGTGTGTGTGTGCGCGCGCGTGTGTGTGTGTGTGTGATAGACACTGTTTATCCATCCGTCCCAGGAGCACCAGGAGGGGGCGCTGATGTGTATGTTTGATTCAAGACTGCACGAAGTATCCTTGTTAAGCAGGACATCACACACACACACATCATTTTTGGTGTCACTACATCCAGGTATCTGTGTACATTGCAAACATACATTGGAACATATATAATGAAGGGCACACGTTTAAAGCCTGTGGTGCATGACAGTGTGCCGCATGTGGACCTGGTGATTGAACCTCTAACCTCAGCAGTATTATTGCTCAAACTGAGCCCAACTAATCCTAACACAGTTTGAAGGACTGGCTAAACAAAGTCTCCAAAGTCAACTTTTCCAGGATATTTAGTCCGTGCCATCGGCCCGTCTTCTGTGAAAAAAGTTCCCAGTTTGGACTGGGGAGACAGACACCCAGGTAGTGGTCTATTTCACGTAGCAGTGATCTAAAACCTTGGTCAGTTTCACCTGATCACATAAAGCTTTCGTCCAAACAAACCTGGTAACACTATACTTGAAGTGGTGCTCATAAAATATGATTAATAGATTGTATTATAAGGTAGAGAACCTGCAGTAACACAAAAAAAGCACCTGCTGACAGTGGAAAGGAAACCCCCCCTCTTAACAGGAAGAAGCAGGGAGGGTTAAATAAATAATAAATATAAATAATAAAAAAAAGTCAGAATAACTTGACCACCTTGGATTTTTGAGCACCAGCTTTGGTCCCCACATAACGACATGAGGATAAGAATCATGTCTTTGTTGCACACCATTGGCTGTCTTTCCCACGGGGGGCTAAACGAGCCCGGGCCACTCCTGCCTGGCCCCGTGGCACATGGTTACCTGCTCACCCACTGAGCTAAACTGACACCTCAGCATAAATATTAAAAAGAAATATTGTTTGAATTTTTAATGCCTTTTTCTGGTATTAGAACATGTAATAACGAGTTTAATGCCATCAGTTAAACTGACGTATTTTATGAGCGTCACTTCTAACAAAGTGCTGCCTTGACATTCCTCAAACTCAATGAGAATCAACAATGAACCTTACAGCAGCAGAAAGGCCTGACCATCACTCCCTGTGTGATCCAGTAGCTCTGAATAGCAAAAGGGAAGTTTTCTGTTTATATATATATGAGAAGCAATAAGCCATTCACTAACAGAAAAGACAATCAGTTGCTACCCACAATCCACTGGGGGCAGATTTTCCACAGTATGCCTTATGTCTTATATGAAGTATTAATAAAAATGCAATATAAGAAATATCTCTATATTTTATATGTATCTGTCTGATTATGTGCCATGTTTCTCAAATAAATAGTTGCTATTCTTTGTTGCATGATGACAATTATAAAATATGTTTACTCCAGAACATAATTTAATATGTTTTCCCCATCTCTATGTGTGTATCTGCCTGTATAGCACAATGTGTCTCTATATCTAACAGTATTACTGTGCTAGGCAGCTCTGTAGCAGGGAACCCATCCGTCTGTTATTATTAGCATTATTATTATTACTAAGTGTTTTTTTTTCTCTTACTGAACCTGGGCTGCTTTTTTATGGTAAAAGTGTTTAATTTCAGTTTACAGTAAAAAAAAAGTTCTAACTAAGCTGCAACAGTTCAACCTTTTGGAAGTACTCACATTCACTTTGTTGACTCACATGATGCTTCTCTTCTTTAATATGAGGCCTGTTGTCCTGATGTTTAGCGCTATATTTTTATTTTTGTAGATTTGCTTTATATTCATCTGTTTTCTACATGAGTTTCAGTTTAATTGTTTATGTTGTACTGTCCCCTCTTTGCTAAATGTTTGAAACATGCAGTCTTTTTAAGGATCACGCCCTCAAAGATGCTGTGTTCTCATTGGCCGAGGAGAAGTGTCTGTACTTTGTAATCATTCAGTGTCCGGAACACAGAATTTAAAGAAAGCACACGAGGAAATAAAAAAATAAAATTGTATGGACAAATCGAAGCCTTTGGCTTTTTACTGTAACAGTTTTGTTTAAAAGAATCTGTATATTTTAGATGAAGAGAGGGCATAATAGTTCCTCTTTAAGTCAAAGCTGGCATGATTGATTTAAATGGAGTCTGTATAGAAATAAAAAATGCACATAGAAACATACTTTATTTTTAGCAATGTGTACCTAATAATAAATATTTAAAAAAAAACACATAGTTTGTCTTTTTAGGGTAAGGTAACTCATAAGGCTTTAGCTTAATTACCCGTAAGAGTCATCAGTTAGCTAGTTAATCTTAACTTTAGCTAGATAAACCGGCTAATATCTTTGTTAGCTAATTTGTCAAGTCTTGAGTTTAAAACTCAGTTAAATGACCTTTTTTGTTGTTCTAGTTCACTAGAATCTGCAAAACGTATATTTGATGACTGCATACATGATATATGAGCATAGCATGTAAAGATTAAAAAAGGCTAATGCTAGGAGAATGCTAAATGGTTTTTCTTCAAGCTTTCTTCAAATGGGCAGACAATGTTTTTCATTCATTGTAGGATAAAGACAATCATCTTCATTGTTACTACATTGTATTCAAAAAGGAAAAGAGATTGTAATTTGTATAGTGTAACATGTTCTGAGAGGCTAGCTTCTTACTTTGGGCAGCTAGTTAGCTAGGTTTGCTGGGTAAATAGCTGCTGTATTGTGAGATGAATGTTTATGCGCCATGTTCAAGTTAACTTCCCTTCAGGAAAAGGAATTTTAAGCTTTTAATGTTAAGGCCTATTTGGAATGGGCTAGAGTAATCAATGTACTCAGCAGGTTTCTGTAATTAAAAAAAATGGCATGACCTCTCAGTCTCTGTTACTATTCATTATTCCTTTTACCAAATTGTTGTCTTATCTGTTTTCTTGAATGGGTTTGACTCCAAAGATACCGTAAATTAAAATTTGAGGAAATATGAAAGAGCAGTACCACCTCTTACAGTGAATGTGTTTGCAGAGTAGCCTGAAGGCTGGAAAGAAATAACACAACCTCTATGTCATTTGCTGCAAAAGTGATCAAATCTGCACTGACATTTCCAGACCTCTCTAAATAGTGAACAGCGCAGTGAAAGATCGGTCGTTCATATTTAACCCACTGAGGTTCAGGATTTATGTGTTTATGTTAGATAAACACATAAATCCTCAGAGAAAAAAGCAGAATCCAACAGTCCAGCTGCAGGTGGGCCGCGGTGGGTAGATTGGTAGATCGTGCGCAGGTTTAAGCTGGTCCATTGAAACCACCTCCTGCCGACCCCCGAAGTCCAAAATGAAATGCTTGTGGCCTGGTTTAAGAACTCTATATGGGCCATCAAGGGAGGTTGATGGGCATCGTGCCTGCAAACCAAGAAGAGTCCAACGACCTCGGAACAAAAACGTCGGCCAGGCAGTGGTGCACTGGGCCAGGAACAGAAAAGGAGCCTCCTGAGGAACGGAGAGACGGCACAGAGGTATCGAAACACAGAGGGGGGCTCTCAGGCAAAAATTCTCCAGGAACTCGGAGGGGCTGCCCAAGAACGAGTTTGGCTGGAGAAACCCAGAGGTCCTCCTTAACCGCGCAGTGCAACCCCAAACAAAACCCAGGAAAGACAGTCGACTGAGTTGCCGCCCGTTAAGGAAGATTGGAGCACGGCCTTGAGTGACCGGTGAAACCGCTCGCACATTCTGTTAGCAGGTGGGTGGTATGGTATAGTGCGGTGGACCTTGACCCCCAGGCCGTCAGCCATGGCAGACCAAAGCTCCAAAATGAACGGGTGGCCCCTGTCCAAGGTAATGTCAGCAGGGGGGGGGCAAAATACGAAACCCACGTTGACACAAATGCCCTGGCCACCACCTCTGCCATCGTGGATACCAGGGGAACCGCCTCCAGCCACCTGGTCGTGCGATCCACCACAGTCAAGGTGCGTGAAACCCTGTGACTGCGGAAGAGGGCCGACCAAATCGACATGCACATGGTCGAAATGCCTACCAGGGACGTGGAAAGGTTCGAGGGGTGGCTAAGTGTGTCTGTGGATCGTCGAGTGTTGGCATGGAACGCATGCCACAGCCCAGCTCATCACAGATTTCCGCAGGCCTGGCCAAATGAACCTGGCGTTGACCAGCTTGACTGAACCCCATACACCCGGATGAGAGAGGGCATGGATGGAGTCGAAAACACGATGGTGCCACAAACGTGGAATGATAGGGCGTGGGTGACCAGTAGAAACGTCGCACAACAAACGCGGACTGCCATCCCACACCGACATGCCCTCCAGCACAAGGCCTGTCTGCGCGGACCAAAGGGCAAGGGTGTCCGGGTCGGTGCTCTGCTCAGCGGCCATGGCAGCGTACTTGACACTGACATACATGGGAGAAAGCAACATGTGGGGCAAAGGCCTTTCCAGCGGTGCCGTCGTGTAGTGATTCCCACTGTCAGCGCCAGATCTGCCGCTCTGGGGGAGGCAGGTGGAGGTGCTGTCGGCAGGTCCGTAGCAGGAAGCGGTAATCCCTCACTGCCAGAAACAGGGAGTTGATGAGGCTGGCCCCCACGGCCACAGGCAACTGTCAGAGGAAGAGATGGATGAAGAGCAATCCCCCATCATCTGAGACGAGCAAGGACAATATGCTCTCCATGAGTTCCAGAGCCATCACCCCATCCAGGCCCGAGAGCTCCCTCGGCATCAGAGAAGGTGTATCGCCGAAGCAGCAGGTCCTTATGGGCGACATATTTCCTGTGTGCAGGTGGGTCCCTGAGGAAGGTCATTGCACGGTGGGTGGCTAACAGGTCAAGCGAGGCCACCACATGATGAAACTTTGTGTCGTCATCTGAGATGCTGCGAAGAGCAAACTGAGCCTCCACATGTACGAACCATGACGGGGGATCGTGGAGCCAAAAGTCCGGCAACTTGAGCGCTACGGCAGGAGGCAGAGGGCCAGCGGTCACTGGTGCATCCAGGGCGAGGCCAGCATCATCCATGGCCTGCAACATGTCCAAATCACCGCGGATGACGTCAGTGCGCACACTGTGTCTGAGGAGGATGTGCGGAGGTGCTTCAGGAAGGTGAACGCACACAAAGCTACTGGTCCGGACGGGATTCCCGGCCGCGTCCTCAAGTCATGCGCGGCTCAGCTGGCTGGAGTGTTCACACACATCTTCAACCTTTCCCTCTCTCTGTCTGTAGTCCCAGCCTGTTTCAAAATGGCCACCATCGTCCCTGTACCCAAATCCTCCACCATCTCCTCATTGAACGACTGGCGACCTGTAGCCCTGACCCCCATCGTAAGCAAATGCTTCGAGAAGCTGGTCAGGGACTTCATCTGCTCTGCACTACCTGACTCACTGGACCCTCTACAGTTCGCATACCGCCACAACAGGTCCACTGATGATGCCATAGCCCTGACACTACATCTGCCCTGTCACACCTGGAGAAGAGAGACACGTATGTGAGAATGCTGTTTGTAGATTACAGCTCAGCATTCAATACCATCGTTCCCTCGAAGCTGGACAGGAAACTGCAGGATCTAGGACTGAGCAGCTCCCTCTGCAGCTGGATCCTTAGCTTCCTGTCTGACAGACGCCAAGTGGTCAGACTGGGCAGCATCACCTCATCCCCCATCACACTGAACACTGGTGCTCCACAGGGGTGTGTACTGAGCCCTCTCCTGTACTCACTCTACACCTACGACTGCACAGCCACTAACAACTCCAACATCATTGTGAAGTTTGCGGACGACACTACAGTGGTGGGTCTTATCACCAACTGGTGATGAGACGGCTTACAGGGAGGAGGTCAGCGCCCTGACCCACTGGTGTCAAGACAACCATCTCACCCTCAACGTCGCAAAGACAAAGGAGTTGATAGTGGACTTCCGGAGGTGCAGAGAAGTACACACCCCCATCACCATCAACGGCGCTGCTGTGGAGAGAGTGAGCAGCTTCCGGTTCCTTGGAGTACATCTGGCTGAGGATCTTACGTGGTCAGTACACACAAACAAAACAGTGAAGAAGGCGCAGCAGCGCCTCTTCTTTCTCAGGAGACTGAAAAGATTCGGCATGAGCCCCCGCATCCTCAGGACCTTCTATCACTGTGCCATTGAGAGCATCCTCACTGGATGCATCACCACCTGGTATGGCAACAGCACCGCCTACAACTGCAAAGCTCTCCAGCGAGTAGTGCGGTGCTCTGAACGGATAATTGGAGGTGAGCTTCCCTCCCTCCAAGACATCTACAGGAAGCGTGCCTGAGGAAAGCGGGGAGGATCATCAAGGACTCCAGTCACCCCAGCCATAAACTGTTCAGACTACTTCCATCAGGAAGGAGGTTCTGCAGCATCCGGTCCCGTACCAGCAGACTGAGAGACAGCTTCTTCCATCCAGGCCATCAGACTGCTGAACACTTCATAGACACCTCAGCTTCACTACTGGAACTTCAACATTATGCACTCCATACTGTACAGTAATGCCACTGTTTTGCACATGTCTCAACTCTGTATATTTTTATATATTTTATTTATTGTTTACTCTATTTAATTTGTAAAATATGTGTACACACACACACACACACGTAGAAAAATATTTAGTATACACATCCAGAAATGCATATACTATTATATATTGTACATATATTTATTAGTTTCAGATGTAGCCATTCTTGTATTTTGCTTGTTTACATTATTGTATTTTGCACAACTCTGTTGCTTGTGAAGCTCGCACACAAGAATTTCACTCACATGTGCTGTACCAATGTACCTGCACATGTGAGTGACAATAAAAGTGATTTGATTTGATTTGATTTGGTGTTCCCTGTCTGCACTCCTTCCTGGCCAAAGGGCTGTAAAGTATGATTAACTCTGTAGTTGAAGAAGTATCTACCATATTACCAAAAATGATTTATTATTGGCTGAACGTGATGAGTGGCTGAGAACATTTTCAAGCTATTCTTTTTTTTTTCTAAAAAGCAATAAAACACTATGAAAACACCTCAGTACATATAAGAC